CACTAGCTAATTTTATGCAGGTGTTTCCTTCTCTTTCTTTGTAGGTATCTACTTTTAAAGTGGTTATAATTTCTGTTCAGAGTAAGAGGAACATCTTTTCTCTACTTCAAATTGCAGGCTTTTAAGTATATGTGAAACAAATTTATTGAGCCATGTGCCAGACACTGAGCAAGAAACTGGAGTAGGTGCAAAGAGTCAAAAGCCCTTCTCCCAAGAGGTTCTTGTTGGAGTGGGTGAAAGAGTTGAATCACTGCAATTTGACTCAACAAGTACTTAGCTGACATGGCACCAAAACCCTCCCTGATCTGCTGCCAGGGTTCAAACCAGGTTCTGGCTCTTACATAGCAACAGGTATTTCTTCTTGCTGTTCGTCGTCTTTGTGGTTTTTGTGTTTATCTCTGTATTTATCTGTTTAATGCCTGTCTTTGCCATTAGACTTCATGTTCCATGAGGATTAAAGTCAAAAAGACATGATCTTCTAGCGTTTAGCAGAGGCTGATACGTGTACACGTTCAATGGATGAGTCAAGCAAGAGGAGAAAATTACAATTCTGTGTAGAAGAGCAGGGAGAAGCCTCTGAGGAGATGTGACACTTACATTGAGCCTTGGAGGATAAAGAGGAGGTGACCAGTGGAGAAGAGGGACACATCAAGAAATACAGAGTATTGAGGAATAGTGTGGCGGGAGGGAGTAGTTGATGTTTTCCAAAATGGGAGGATAAGGTTGTATGTAGAGGATAAGACTGAGTTGAAGTCTGGTCCGTAGTTTAAGGGTCTTGTCTGCCCAGTTCACAGTTTTGGGTTTCTTTTTTGTTGAGATAAAAATAAAAGAGGGGCCAGGTGCGGTGGCTCAACCGCCTGTAATCCCAACACTCTGGAAGCTGGAGACGGGTGGATCACAAGGTCAAGAGATAGAAACCATCCTGGCCAATAGGGTGAAACCCCGTCTCTAGTAAAAATAAAATTAAAAAAAATAGCTGGGTGTGGTGGTGTGTGCCTGTAATTCCAGCTACTCAGGAAGCTGAGGCAGGAGAATCGCTTGAACCCAGAGGTGGAGGTTGCAGTGAGCCGAGATCATACTACTGCAGTCCAGCCTGCATGATAGAGGGAGACTCAGTCTCAAAAAAAAAGATGGTAAATTAAATTACTTGGCTATGGAGATGAATATCAATTTTTCTGTGTTACTGAGAGGGCTTTTTAAAACTTAAATTCAGAATTCTGAAAGAATAGCTATAGATCCCCAAACTGTGGCTTTGTGTTTTATTTTCTTCCACAAATTTCCCCTCCGTTTCCACCTTGTAGCTGTCTTTGCCAATTGCCAAAACATCTGTCCATACATTAAAATTATTATGTAACATTATCACCATGAACATACAGCGTCAACCATCAGCTAAATACTAAGGATGTAATATATCTGATTTTTACAATTCAGTCAGCTTTCCAATTTCTAAATATGTGTCTTGGGGAGGCTTAGTTTTTCTTTCTGTAATACAGGGGTTCAGAGCTACCAAACATTTCTATAAAATGCCATTTTTTATAAAAGCAGCAAGGCTTTTTTTTATTATTATTATTCCTTTGAAAACCAATGATCTGTGCCTAAGACAACCCTTTCCATATTACTTTACCCTGAATGAAACAAGATTGGTTGAGAGTTCTGCCTCCAAGGAAATATCAAAGCCTCTGAAACATACTCATTTATAGTTTTAAAGTTAACTCTCTTATCAGATTTCCTTTTATTTCCTGCTGGGGCAATGTGAGCAGAGCTCAGATAGAGGCAAAGAATCTACTATATATCTTTTCAAATTTATGATTAAGAAGGTCACATATACATTTTTAAACACACTTCTTTTTGATAATAAATGAAGAATAAAATTTCGAAATGTCAGCAGCAGCAGAATTGCTCATTTTTCTTTCGTTGGCGTTCCCCCACCCCTGCCTAATTGCCTGACCGATCCAATGCTTTATTTCTTGTTGTATGTCTGCCTGGAATCGTTTCACTGGTAGAACAGTGTGCCTGTGGCCAAAGTATTGTAACCATAAGATACATTCCTCTTCCTGAGTGCCTTTCTTTCCCCAGGCCAACTTAAAAAAGGAAAATTTAGTGAATGAGGAATTCCATTTTAGGCTGCACGTTTCTTCAAATTATGGCCAAAACAAGGAGTATAAAGAAACTTTTCTCAGCCAGGTGCAGTAGCCCATGCCTGTAATCCTAGCACTCTGGGAGGCCAAGGTGAATAAGCTCTGGAGTTCAAGATCACCCTGGGCAACATGGTGAGCCCCCATCTCTACTAATATACAAAAAATTAGCTGGCCGCGGTGGCGGGCATCTGTAGTCCCAGCTACTTTGGAGGCTGAGGCATGAGAATTGCTTGAGCCTGGGAGGCAGAGGCTGTGGAGAGCTGAGATTGCACCACTGTACTCCAGCCTAGGTGGCAAAGTGGGACACTGTCTCAAAAAAAGGCAACTTTTCTCTTCTTGGTCGGGGAATCCTGGATCCAGTTCCCCTCTCCACCTTCCTCTACTGTGCTCTCTGTTTCCAGAGTATGAAGTCTGTCATAAAGATCACTTGCCACCTCTGGCTTGTTGTTGGATTCAGCTGGAGAGAGCAGCCACAGGGGATCAGAGGAGGGGCGTGAGGTGCAGTCAGGGCATTTTTACCTCTGGTTCTCTCCCTGTGAGGTTGTCTATGACTGGCTGGGCCTTTCCAGAGAAAGCCACTGCTTCTGTTCAGGTTGCCTCCTCTCCATAGCTCTCTTCTTTTGGGCTCTGGTTACTGCTTCCTCTATTTATTCCTCTGGTCCCATTGGTAATAAACAGCTCTCCCACTGATGTATTATATTGTGGGTCCCTATACACTTGTCACCTTTTATAAATAGATGCTCCTCAAATTGTCCTTGTTTGAGTCTGCTGTCTCTCATTCTTCTGTGAAGTCTACACCTAGATCATGAGATTCATGTTTCAAAGAGGATGCTGTCAAACTGGAATTTGTTCTACATGAACTCTTCTAAAACACTTCCAAGTTTGGGGCTTTGGGGTTTGGGCCTTGTATTTCTTTTCTTTCTCTCTTTTTTTTTTTTTTTGAGAGTGGGTCTCACTCTGTCACCAAGGCTGGAGTTCAGTGGTGTGATCTTGGCTCACTGCAGCCTCCACCTCTGGGCTCAAGTGATCTTCCCATGTTAGCCTGCTGGGTAGCACAGGTACGTACCACCACACGTGGCTAATTTTTGTAGAGATGGCGTGTCACCATGTTGTCCAGGCTGGTCTCAGTTCCTGGGCTCAAGTCATCTGCTGCCTTGGCCTCCCAAAGTGTTGGAATTACAGGTGTGAGCCACCATGCCAGGCCTAAGTTGAAGTTTATCCTTTCCTTTTATACTTCCTGTGGCAGGAAGATGGTTACCTTACCTCTTGAAACTGTGTTTTATGATCAGTGGGGCTCAACCATGGAAAATTATTCCCTGCATTGCACTGTATTTGACCACTGTGGGACATCTCTTCATTGTGTGTTGAGACAAAAATGACCAAAATTGAATTAAAAGCCTACTTTTGTGAAGAATGGAGCAAGAGACCTGGAGAAATTACTCTCAAGATATTTGGTGTTTAACTGATAGCCTTTCAAGTAAGAGAACTATAACAGCCATATTTAGATGCATATATGTTGGAAAAACTCAGGGGGACTACGTTGGCATTTTAGAAATATTTGAATAATTCTTATATGCGAGAGGAGTTAGTCATATTTTTGTATCTCTCATGCTCTATCTAAGACCTATCCAGTTAAAGTTTAAAGGACATAGATTTTAAATCCATAGAAAAAGAACTTTTTAACTTTTTAGTTCCTTGGTGAGGTATCAAAGTCTACATCACTTGACAGAATTCAAGGAGAGATGGGATCCCACAGTGGGGCTGCTGGGGAGGAAATTTGAACACTAGAATGTATTTGGATCCACTGGCAATAGTGTAAACACAAGAATAGCAGCTGCTAGGTGTCAGGTGTCCGCTGTGTGCCAGGCACTGTGCGCTGCGTATTTTATGCATTGTCTCATTTGATTCTCACAATCCTGTAAGGTTGGTCTTGTTATCTGCCACAGTATACAGAGGAATAGTTCAGGATTTAGAGTAAGGAATTTGCCCTGGATCTTGCACTAGTTGGCAGGTAGCAGAGGAAAGCTATGAATCCGAGTCTGTCTGACACCAAAGCTGATGGTTTGAAGTCCAGTGGTTGGTGTCCGAATCACCTGGGGAATTTGATGGCTATGTAGAATTCTAGGTCCTGTTCTACTTCCATGATCCTGAGCATGTGTTTGTGTGTGTGTGTGTGTGTGTGTGTGTGTGTGTGTGTGTGTGTGTTTGTGTGTGTTTTACTCTTCAGGTGATTCAAATTTACACCGAAGTTTGAGAAGCACTGCTCTACACTATTATTATCATAAATGCCCATCTAGTTCTGAGGGTCTTTTATTCCCATGGGAATAAGTGTACATCAGTTCAGCTTAAACTTTCCTTCTTTTGAGCTGTGAAACTAACCTCCACACTCATACACTTCCAACCACCAGCCCCTGCTTCACTCTACTATAATTCGGTGGGTTTTTTATGAGCTCAGTTCCTGAGAAAGACAAGACTCCCATTTTTAATCTCATTCAGAGCCACAGAAACAGAAAGTCCAGTCTAGCCACTTCCTCCATCTGAAAGGAGAGTTGGGGAAAGGAATACAAGTCTTGTTGATTTTCTCTGAAAGGAGCATATGGAAAGCATTGTACAAGTCTCATTGATTTCCCATTTTAAGCTCAAATATAGAACATTGTCAGAGATGAGGCAGCAGCATGCGTCTCATATTTCTGAGTAAATGGAAACCATTCATGGTTTGTTCTGCCTTGATTCTTTTTCTGGAGAATGAACCAGATTTGGGGGTTGAGGATGAAGATTTGGGGGTTGAGGATGAACAATCTATCTTCCCAATGCTTTAATGGAACTGGCACCATCTGACTGTGATTTTTCCCTTGCACATGTCCCAAAGGAAGCTGGCCAAGAAGCAGAAGGAGACCCAGAGTGGAGCCCAGAGGGAGATGGGGCCTGTGGCCTCTGCTGACAAACCCACCACCAAGCTCAGTGCCAGCCGCAATGATGAAGGCTTCTCTTCTAGTTCTCAGGACGTCAATGGATTCAGTAAGTTGAGCCAACAAAGGGGAAGGGGACACCTGTGGTCCAGCTCAGCCCTAGTACTTCTGCTGTGAGTCCCACACAGTGATCAAGTGCTGCCAGGCATAGGGTCTGGATGCTTCCCTGAGATGGACTGGGATGAAAGTTCTCCCTGACAAAGACCTGGGCTAGTCCTTCCTAAGGTGAAAAGGAATATTTAAAAAATCTTCCCCAAATCAGATGGAAATGAGAGCAAGTCATCCTAACTCCTTGTGGACATAAATAGAGACAGGTTAAAAATAATAGCAGTAAAAAAGAAAGAGGAGGAGGATGGTTATGTCTTTAAGGAGAAAAATATGCCACACTGCATTGAGTGGCTTAAGATTTTCAAATCTGTGTTTCACATACACCACATAAGGTAGGTGAGTCACAGATTATGACTGTCTCCGCTGTGAGTGCTTAGGAAACTGAGGCTCGGAGGAACAACTTATTCAAACTACAATAGCCGGTGAGTTACATATCTAGGCTGGAAGCCACATCCCTCAAATGTCTGGCAGTTCCAAGCCACAGTCAATGTTCCAAGTATCATTGGTCAAGGCCGCCTGAGTCCTTGTGCCAAGTTAATGAAGGATCTCAAGCTACGAGAGGTTAAGATACCAGGGTTAACTCTTATCCTCAGGAGAACTCCAAGACTGCTAACATCTAAGGCTTCCTTGTGGACACACTGGCTTCTGCTCTTACACCATGCTATCAGCCAGTTAGTAGACGAGATTTCCCAACCTCTTCGCCAAATTGGGTAATGCAAATAGTCTAAAAGAATGTGTACAGACACAGATGTCCTCCACATACCATGTAAGCTACAAATGGAAGAAACTGCATTTTATAAAAATTACTTAAGATAGGATCAGTTTGGAATGATGGGGATCTATAAGAGGATAAAGAAAGAAAGAAAGAAAAAGCTGGGTGCGGTGGCTCACGCCTATAATCCCAGCACTTTGGGAGGCTGAGGTGGGTGAATCACCCAAGGTCAGGAGTTCAAGGCCAGCCTGGCCAATGTGGTGAAACCCTGTCTCTACTAAAAATACAAAAAATTAGCCAGGCATGGTGGCATGTGCCTGTAGTCCCAGCTACCTGGGAAGCTGAGACATGAGAATCATTTCCACCCAGGAGGCAAAAGTTGCTGTGAACGTAGATCATGCCACTGCACTCCAGCCTGGGCAACACAGAAAGACTCTGTCTTAAAAAAAAAAAAGGCTGAGCATGGTGGATCATGCCTGTAATCCCAGCACATTGGGAGGCCAAGGCAGGCAGATCACAAGGTTAGGAGATCGAGACCATTCTGGCCAACTTGGTGAAGCCCCGTTTCTACTAATAATGCAAAAATTAGCTGGGTGTGGTGGCATGCATCTGTAATCCCAGATACTAGAGAGGCTGAGGCAGGAGAATTGCTTGAACATGGGAGGCAGAGATTGCAGTGAGCCAAAAGCACACCATTGCATTCCAGCCTAGTGACAGAGCAAGACTTCGTCAAAAAGAGGAGGAAAGGAGGGAAGGAAAGGAGAGAGAGTGAGTGAGAGAGAGAGAGGGAGGGAGGGAGAGGGAAGAGGGAGGAAGGGAGAGAGGAGGGAAGGAGGGAGGGAAGGATGGAAGGGAGGGAGGGAGAGAGGGAAAGAGGCAAACAAATACTTATTTGCCCCCTTCTATAATGTGGACACTGTCTCTCCTTTCATCCTCACCCTAGTCCTGTAAGATCCTTAGTACTGTTGCAAGATATGCAAGGCAAAGTGTGTTTGACCACTTATCCCAGAGCCACACAGCTTGTTTTTAATGAATCCAGATCTGAGAGTAACTCAGACCCATGATTCCTAAGCTCCAGTGCAGCAGAGAACCCACATGAGGAGGTTTTCAACAGATCTGAGAGTAACTCAGACCCATGATTCCTAAGCTCCAGTGCAGCAGAGAACCCACATGAGGAGGTTTTCAACAAATCTGGGCCCCACACCTCATCTCCTGAATCAAACTCTCCTGGGGGATGAGAGGTAGGGCCCAGCTGAGGGATACGGATTTTGGAAGTCGTTCTGGGAGTTCTTATATGCACCCAGGTTTAGAATATAGCACTTGGACAGAGGCAATAGCTGTGCTCAGATACTGATGTGCTGTCTTTGGAAAAAGAGATTAGTTGAAACCTACAAAAATGGTTGAGAACAGCAAAGTGAATACGCACATACTCTGTACCTAATTCACCAATTGCTACCATTTTGCAACGTTTGCAGTTTTGCGCTTGTCTGTACTCACACTCTCTCTCTTTCTTCTGTATCCATTTTTTTTTTTTTCAAAATTTTCTGAACCATTTAGAAGTAAGTTGCAGGTCTCATGACACTCTACCTCCAGAGAATGCAGCATGTGTTTCCTAAGAACTAGGGCAGCTCTTCAACATAACCACAATAAAGTATAACCTTAATTCAGTGATCTAACAAACCAGTTCATAGTCAAGTTGCCTCAATGGCCTCCATATGTTCACTATTGCTTATTTGTTTATTTTAATCCAGGATTCAATCAAAGTGCTCACATTGTATTTGGTTTTCAGGTGTCTATCTTCTTTCATCTAGAACAGCCCTCTCAACTTTGTTTTTTCTTTCAGGATACGGACTTTTTTTTTTTTTTTTTTTAATCTAGGGTTGTCATCCTGCAGTCTTCCACAATCCAGATTTGTCTGATTTTTTAAAATCATGATTACCTTCAGGTTAAACACTTTGCCAAAAATATGACATAGCTGATATGACATACTTACCTTTGCATCATGTTAATAGACACATAATACCACTCAGTTCGTTACTGATCATGGCAAGTTTGAGTTTTTCTTCAGGTTAGATACTGGCTTTTAAAGACAAATCTAATGATGCATGCTGATTATAAGCAAATAATTAACATCTGTTTTTCTTAGGGATCAGAGCAAATTTGTGGTTTGCCTAACCATGAAGCAGTCCTTTTTTCGATTTTCAATCCAGATAAACCACTGAAACTCATACATTTCCTAGAAGTGGGGAAATTGATTTTGATATAAACCAGGACAGGTTAGGAGAGGCTGAACAGAAAATGGGCTTGATTTTTCCTTAAAAGAAAGGAACATTCCAGCTACGATTTTGCTTCTGTTAACCAACTTCTGTTGCAAAATTCCAGGTAGCTGGAGGAATAAGTTGTAGTGTTCTATTGTACTGCAGGGGGGCTATAATTAACAACAGTTTATTGTATATTTTCAAATAGCTAGCAGCATGGATTTTGAATGTTCTGAACACAAAGGAATGATACATTTTGAGGTGATAAATATATTAAATTCCCTGATTATTATACATTATATACATGTATCACACTATACTCCATAAATATATATAATTAATATATGTCAATTAATAATAGAAAAAAGAGAAATTCTCATCATGAGCTCACTGAGTCTCTAGCTATGCTAAGTTGTCACTGGATGCCCTGCTTTTGGCCCTGGGACAGAGAAATTCATTTGCAAGTTTATCTGATTGAAAATCCTGGCCAGTAATACCTATTCCTCCTTTTCTGGCCAGTCTCGCCTCTTGTGTACACTTTTTTCCATTTGTAAACGTGCCCCCGGAGGACTCTGAAAACCAAAATCATTATGGCCAAAAATTCATGACAATCATTGTGACTCTGAAATTTTAGAAATCAGTTTTCAGTCTTTCTGATCTCAAATGCAAACCTGGTAACACGGATTTCTTGCATTTGAAAGAAGAAAGTTATCACTGTTCACTATGGGCCAAAGCTTAGACCCTTGAGAAGAAAACACCTAAGACAGAAATAAATTAACTTGCCACAAAGGAAGAGGAGAAATAGCCAAGGAAATCTAATTAGATGTTTAAAAGGCCAGGGACAAACTTTCCAAATGATTGAGCTGTGTATGTATGTGTGTGCATGTGTGTTTTTACACACACACACATAAATACAGAGGTGTATAAACCTACACAGTCATATATATACAAATATACATATATGACTATATATACATTCATTATAATAATGCTTTCTAAAAGATTAAAAAATGATTAACATTATACTCAGTTATTAGGACATTTTGCATTTGTCTGAATCACTGAACACTTTACGACTCTCTGTGCATCTGATGTCCTCAGGCTACAGCTGCAGAAACACTCTCAGGATCTTTTGACTGCCCTAGAATGCATCAGGTACCTTTTAAAATGCCCTGTGGAACCATTGGGATGAGATTTGAGGGGGGAAAATGTAAGTAATGCTTACACTGGAGATGAGAAATTGCTTCTGAAATCACCCTGATGTATATAGAATTGAATCTATTTTTGTGGCATTAGGAAAGTGACTGGCTTCTGAATCAGTGTCTTTGGGAGGCCCTGAGATTTTTGCAAATGTTGAGGCAGCACTGAGAGAGGTAGGGCACAGAATAGTTGTTACACTGCAAAAGATGACAGAAGAACGTGCCTTGGGCAATTATTTCATTATTGACCAAATAGGCTGGGCCCTTGCCTAATTCAAATTCTACCTCTCCCTGCATACATTTATTTTCTGGAGTTTTCTATTTCAAGTGACTGCTAAGTTCTGAGGCATCTATTCAATCAAACCTCTTAATACTGTATAGGAACAATGACCTCCAGGGCTCTAGGGTGGTGGGGCTTTGTCAGATATGGGCTGTTGCTTTGGAGTGCCTTGGCATTCTTGAAAAAGGAATACATGTCACATTTCAAGGACAAACAATGTGCATTGTTTTCCATTTAAGGAAACGTTAGCTTTTATTAAGTAATCTGATTTTGATCTTATTGCCCTGTGTACTTGTTATTTTTCTCTGTGATCTTTTGCTCACTGGGATCATTTTCTGGGTCTTTCTTCTGGTACTTAAATCTTCTTCTTTATCTCTTTTGTTCACGTGTCATCTTCTTGTTCATTTTCAGTCCAAACTAAAAAATGCTTCAAAACAAATCCCTGTTGAGTTCCTGTGATATGGGGGTGGGTTGTCTCTTCTTCCTGTAATG